AGGGGCAGCGCATACACTACAATGGCTGCTGGAAAGAGGCGTAAGGAAACAATTTCCAGGCCCGCCGCGTCCAGCCCGAAATATGAGAAAAAAATTATTAGAAATTCCGCGGGCGGTGTAAAGGCGGCGGACGGGCCGGAGGGAGGATGTTAAAGCCCCGCGGTGAGTTCTCCCGGGATCCGGGGCGGCGGAGAGGCGTTTAGCGGGAGAAATATCAGGGTTCTTTAAATTATGGGACTAGCTGAGGGGGCAGAGGAGCCGCGGCGGCGGCCGGAGGAGGAAAAGTTTGTGCTGCTCTCAGCCCCTGCTCAGGACCCCACGGGGGAAAATAATAATAAAAAATCAAATAAAATAGCGAAGCGGGGCTGCGAGGATCCCCGAAGTCGCCTCTGACAGGGCAGGGGGCGAGGCGGCCGGGGACCCGAAGGTGAGGTCGGTGGGAAAAAAAAAACACCCTTTATTCGGGGTCTGGAAAGTTTGAAAAGTTTTCCTCCTCCTCCTCCTCCTCCTCCTCCCTGGTGCTGTGAATATTGTGACAGCGGCAGCGGCAGCAGCGAGAGCGGAAGACATTAGAGACCCGAAAAATCAGGGAAAAATTAATATAAATTCGGTGTGGGGAGGAAACTCTCCGCATTTTCCACCAAAACATCCCGGGGGAAGGTGGCTCCCCGAAGGGCCTGGCGGAAGCCCGCGGTCGGCAGTCTTCGGGGGGCACTGGGAGCGACTCGGGGGAACTTCGCCCCTCTCTCGAAAGAGGTTCTTCTTCTCGGGCGAAGTGAATTTGTTTCTGCCCTCCGCCCAGGTGGGCGAGCCGGGGTCGGGGTGCGGGGTCTGCGGGGAGGTGTGAGCCCGGGGTGTGTGGCGGCGAGGGGGGGTAGGGGGAGGGGGTGTTAAATGAAAGCAGGAGATCGGCACCGAGCAGGGACAGCTTGTTGTCAGTATCATAAACAACCAAAATGGAGGGAGAACTCAGGCATATAACCAAATAAAAATTGTTAAAAAATCGCAAAAAATCCCTAAAAATCCGGGATGCTCCCCCTTTCCTCGCCGAAGGTACAAGCGTGTCCCGCCTCTCCCCTGAAGTCCATTTTGACTTTGCAGGGACCAAGGAGTTAATATTTATTTATTTTTTTCGAAACTTTCGGAGGGCAAAAAGCCTTTTATAACTCCACCGACAATGAGAAAACGTGAAAATCCGATGCAAGAGAAGCAGGGGGAGGGAGGGGGGAGGTGGTACTGCAGAAACTGCTCGACTTATTGGTAATGGGGACGGATCTGAGATCAGATAAACACTATATTTGCTGTTTGAGAACTCTCTTTTAATGATCTTGGCGGGGTTTCGGGGGGTGGGAAAAAAGCGATGCCATTTTCTTAATGGAGTTAATATGTGTGATTGGAAGAATGAACCTTTCCGGCTGGAGATTGCATTTTCGTCGCATTTATGCCTCAGGTTTTGTTGGTGGCTCCCTCCTTTCTTTAAACCAGGCTCTGCAGAGGAGGGGGAGAGAGGTGGTGTCGCACAGGCAGGCTCGAGTGCAGGGCTGGAGTACCTTTTGGGGAGGGGTGGGGAGTTGCCTGGCTTCTCCCTTCCTGACACGTTTGCTTCACCTGTTCGTCCCCACTAACTCGTGCTAAGCTGAGGTTTTCTGGTTTTCTGTCTGTCGAAGGATGGTGCCTCTTGCATCACGTTGATGTTAATGGGAAAGTGCTGCTGATGTTGGTTCCACGTGGGATATGGGACCGAGCAGGGCATTTTAAAGGGACAGCTTCTCTTTTCTTAGGG